TTTTTTTTTTTTTTTAATTTTTTAATGTTTATTTATTTTCGAAGGAGAGAGAGAGGAGAGAGAGAGCATGAGCGGGGGAGGGGGAGAGAGAGAGGGAGACATGGAATCCTAACCGGGCTCCAGGCTCTGGGCTGTCAGCACAGAGCTTAACGTAGGGCTCGAACTCACGTAGGGCTGAACCACCAGATCATGACCTGAGCTGAAGTCAGATGCTTAACTGAGCCACCCATGTGCCCCTTGGCTATTTTCTAATATCATGGGATTCCCTTAGGGAATTTGTGTGCTTATCAAGAGTGTCAGGTATGTTTCTTAATCAACTGGGGGCCTTGGGTAGTTCAGTTAAGCATCCGGCTTCAGCTCTGGTCATGATCTCACAGTGGGTGGGATGGAGCCTGCATCCGGCTGTCTCGGGCTCTGCACTGACAGCTCAGAGACTCGAGCCTGCTTCAGATTCTCTGTCTCCCTCTCTCTGTCCCTCCGCCACTGGCATGTGAGCATACTCTCTCTCCAAAAATAAATAAACATTAATAAAAAAAAAGAAATCAACTTATGCCAATTGTATTTACTGTTACAAGAATATAATTTAATAAAGTATTATGTAAAGCAATTAAATGTAAGTGAGAAGAGGAAAAACAACAGCAGCAGCTAATATTTTCTTACTACCTACCAGATGCTGTTCTAAGTGCTCCACATGAATTGACTCATACAATCTTCACAAGATCCCTAGAGACTGGATACTGTCACTGTCCCTTTTTTCCAAAGGAGAAAACCAAGCAACTTGCTCAAGGACTGCATAACTAATAAATGGCGAAACAATTTGGCTCCAAACACTAGAGTTTAGCTACTATACTACATAGACTCTCTGGTAGTTACTTCTACGAAAACCAAGTTGAAAGCTTTTCAAAGACTAGATAAAGATGAGTCACACAGATACAGACAACTGTACTTTGTAAGTCAAAGTAGCCATAGATAATATGGCAATAAATAAGCATGGCTGTGTTCCAATGAAACTATTTACAGAAACAGAGGGCTAGGACAAGATTTGGCCACCATGCTGTAGTTTGCAGATCTCTGGGACCCACACCCTAAGAAAAGGCTTATTTTATGAAAACTATTAAATGTTTCTGTTGTTATTGTTTTCTTAAGTAGGGTCCACGTACAATGAGGGGCTTGAACTCGTGATCCTGAGATCAAGAGTTGGGTGCTCTATGGGCTGAGCCATCCAGGTGTCCCAAGAAAAGCCTTATTCTTTTTTATTTATTTACTTATTTTGAGAGAAAGAGAGGGCATGTACAAGCAGGTGTGCACAGGAGGGGCAGAGAGAATCCCAAGCAGGTAACACATTGTCAGCCCGGAAACAGCTTATTTTAAAGAATGGCAAAAAGATGTTTATGCTTTAAGTTAAAATTAAATGTTTAAGATCTGTGTGTAACTAATATCTGAATGATTCCTTGTTTTAACTTATTTTTGTTGTTGGCCAACTATTGGCCCTAACTGTGTCAGATAAAAGGGCAACTCTTGTCCCATAAGAAATTTGTGACTTCTAGGTTCGAGATGGAGCCTGCAGTGACAGAGCTTGGGACTCTCTCTCTCTCTGCCCCTTCCCTGCTTATGCTCAGTCTCTCAAAATAAATAAATAAACATGAAAAAAAATTTTAAAAAAAGGAAAGAAAGAAAGAAAGAGAAAAAGAAAGAAAAAGAAAAAGAAATTCGTGCCTTCTTTCCTGCCTTTTTGCTTTTGCCAAAGCCACCCCCTCAACCTGGAAAACCTTACTTCCTCATTTCACTAGGAACCACCCCAGTCATCTTCAAAGGCCATTATCTAGACCCACAAACTCCACCAATCCAGATATGATCTCTTCTTCCTTTGAAATCCCACAATAATTAATTTCTACTTATGGGACTTACTTTGCTATGTCTTCTAAATTATTTGTATACTTCAATTATCCCCGCTATTCAACCATAAGCACTTTGAGGGCAATGACTTATTCGTTTTCCTATTCCTTGCCAATACCCAGCACGGGGCCTTACACATAGAAGGTTTTCAGATATTTCTTGAATTGGGTTCTGACATTCTTCTGTTTTCAGTGACTGAACAGAAAGAACACTATACCAACTCCCCCAAACTTATATTCAATTCATATCACTATCACCACACCTATGATCTAACCTGGTTATAACTTTAAACATTAATAGTTTTTATAGTTTAATATTTACAATGCATTCACTAGTAGACTAGTATGGGTGTGCTTATATACAAGAATTACCATCTCTATGGCAAAATTACTGAGAATTTGAAAGGAATTGTTAAAATTGCCACTTCCTAGCTAATCTTCAGGGGTCAATCCATTTTATAAATACACCTAAAAACTGTGTACTTAAAACAAACAAAAATGCTTAATTCACACTTGAGATGAGGGTTGTGCTTTACTTACCTCTGCATCCTCAACAGTACTTAATAGATGTCTGGGTCTAATTCACTCCCAAAGTGTTTAGGGAGTCTGGCCCAAGCTCAGAGTGAGTTAGAAGGGCTGGGATGGGAATTCAGGTTTCTTGATTCCTGGTCCAATATTCCAGTTCAGGAAGACAGTGGCTTTTTAGTGTACCCAATCTTACTGAGGACGCCTTACCATTATCTTCCCCTTTCTCATACTGCTGATCAGAACTAGCAGCTGTGTTCCCACAATGGTGACCTAGGCATGCATGTTTGTGGTGTCTCAAAAATGTTGATCCAGATTTTATGTTCCTGCCTATCTAAAAAGGCTACTTAAATACCCTGCATGAAAACATTCCCAACTCAAGAATTCAAGATAAGCACTCAAATGATCCTTTAGCATTAAAAAAAAATGTTTATTTTTAAGAGACAGGGAGAACTAGTGCGTGTGAGTTGGGGAGGGGCAGAGAGATAGAGAGGGAGACAGAGGATTCAAAGTGGGCTCCTCAGAGGGCTGTGAGCAGGATGCAGGGCTCAAACTCACAAACAGTGAGATCATGACTTGAGCTGAAGTCAGCTGCTCAACCGACTGAGTCACCCAGGTGTCCCAATCCTTTAGCATTTTTTAAAAGCACTATTCAAGGGTGCCTGGGTGGCCCAGTTGGTTTGAGCTTCTGGCTCTTGATATCTGGATTCTTCTCCTTCTGCCCTCCCCCACTAGCCATCTTTCTTTCTCTCTCAAAATAAATAAACATTAAAAAAGAAATAAAACACTATTCTGATGTTTCAGTGCTGGAATGACAATGATCAGTATGAGGAAGAGGAATTAGAAAGAGCTATGTAAATTACTTATGCATTTCATTCTTTCTTTCCCTGAGAGATAGCCAAGTTCATATTCTAAACAGAGCTATGGCAAAGGGTTCCAGTTCTAGTGCTTAGGTTCCAGTGGCATCATTGTTTTCACACTGTCAGCCTTCACTTCTTTAACCACCTTAATCTTTAAAATAAACACAGGAAGCAGACCACAGCCCCATCCCTCAGTTTAACAAAGGAATCCTAACAAAAATTAGTAACACATAATATTTCTAGCTATTCTATTTCCCTCTTTCCCCTCCCCTAGAGCTTTAAACAATAGTAAAATCATCTTCAATTACCAAAAGAGACGAAGCAACCCTGACTGTTCATAGCTAGTACAACATATCTATCTTTCTGGAAGGCAAGAGTCATTGCTGGGCTCACTGGGTCCCACGTGCAAAAAATCCTAAGAGCATAAGTTAAGGAATGGGAACAAGGATGAATTCCATTACTCACTGTAACAATGAATAAGAAACCATTATTGCCAAGAGGGTACAGGTGACCTCAAGATGAATAAAACTGTCCCTGCCCTTGAGGAGCTCACACTTTAGTACAAGTACACAAACTATAATAAAAAGCAGAACCAGGGAAGTACCAAGAGGTGGGAAGTTCTCTAGGAGGTGAATCACTAGCCATCACTTCACTTCAGTATCATGTTAACAGACTAAAACTTTCAGGTAAGGGACACCGGTTATACTAAACTGTTCGGGAGAAGCCCTGAGTGAAAGAGATCTATGGAAATGGATGCTATGCTACAGAGGCATCTGGGTGGCTCAGTCAGTTAAGCGTCTAGACTGTTGGTTTTGGCCCAGGTCATATCTCAGTTCTTGAGTTTCAGCCCTGCATTGGGCTTTGCGCTGACAGTGTGGAGCCTGCTTGGGATTCTCTTTGTCCCTCCTGCGCTCTCTCTCTCAGAATAAACTTAAAAAAACTGTTTAAGAAACGGACGCTACATTATCTGTTTATCTACACCTTGGCTAAATCAGGCCTACCCAGAGATGGTTTCAGTAACTCTACCAGGTTAGTCAAAGAAACACTTACATAAGATACAGAGAAGATGGAAACTGAAGAAAGAGAAGTCCCCAACAACTGATGTTGACTTAGGTCTGTGGCAAGAAGACGAAGCAAAACCCAGACCAAGACTGGGACTGGGATTTTTGCGCTTCTAAAGTTTTCTCCTTTCCAACACTCACCCCCAGAATATCCCAGCTCTTCTGCACCTCACTTGCATCGAGAGGGGAATTCTCTAAAGATGTATGTCTCAGTCCAGCAATGAGCACTCCGTAAAGGTGCACAGTGCTAAAAACCTGATAAGGTTCTTGCTCACCCATCAGCTTGCTAACTCCTGAACCAAGAGAGGAGGAGGGATCCAGCCCCAGTCTGCCTGCCCTTTACTCTGTGTGACCTAGGACTAGTCATCCAAGGGCTTATTACTCCGTTTCCCTATTGCAAATTCTGGGATTATGAGGGGACTGGGATTGAATTCGATGACCTCTGAGGTCTAAAAGCTTCTTGACCAGCCGGCACATGGAATTAGTGGACAAATAGCCCGTTGAATAAACAGTGAGGTCGGCCACAGGGCACAAGCGATAGGGACGTCAAGCCCGTTTTGTAGACGGGGAAAGTGAGGCACCGAACACCCTGCCCCAAGGTCACTCTCCCTATGTCACTGTGGGGCCTGACCGAAAGCGCAGTTCTCCAGTCTGCCAGTCTCGGGCCCTTTCTCCTTTCGCAGAGCAGATTAGAGTCGCATGGAGGGTCCTTGTCCGGGAGGCGAAAGGGCTGTTCCTGTGCCAAAGGTGGGAGAGGGCGGGGGGGTGGGGTGGGTTGCTTACCTTCCAGATCCAGTCTTGCCACCGGCACCTCCCTCTTGGAACCTTAACCCGTCACCAATCTCACGACTCTTCGGAAGCCCCCTCCACTTATGCCCGGCTCGACGTGTCCACGACAGCCACCAAGGCCGCGGATTCCTGCCCCTGCCCCGCCCCCTGCCTCGTTGGCCAATCCCTGCGCAGGATTTTGGAGCTCCCGCGAATTTCACCGCCTCTGCAGGCTGGAGAAGCTTTACGTCACGGGCGCGCGTGCCTGCGAGGCCCTCCCATTTGCCTTTCCCCCACCTTCTCCAGCCCCTAGGCCCCTCCCAGCCGATCAACCGTGCGAGAGTTCGTCCTGCCGGAAAGCAGCACGCCGCCGCGGCATTTCACGACGTCAGCGGGGAAAGGCCCCGAAAACCTTCCGACTTCCCCCCTTGCGGCTGGGTGAAAGGCACCGCGATGTTCGGTGCGGGAGACGAAGACGACACCGACTTCCTCTCGCCTAGCGGCGGGTGAGTGACTGAGAAGCGTGGGACCGAGGGCGTGGCTGAGAGAACCGGGCAAATGGTTGGAGGGGTCGCTCTCAGACTTCTTCCCTACTTCCGGGTCCAGACCCCTGCCACATTCCGGTGCTCTACAGGTTTCAGAATCCCGGCAGAGTTCGAAACTGCGCTGTATCTGTCCACCTCGATTCTGGACCCGGCATGTCCCCTGGCACTCACTATGGCCCTAGGGTTCGCCTTTTGCTTTGTGGGTCAGTTTCTCCTTCTGTGAAATGGATTACTGATGAGAACATCTGCCTCAGGGTATTTATAGGAGTCAGTTGAGGTCGATATGACACTTTCTGTTCCCAGGGGACAAGGCAGTGACACTTCAGAATTGGCCCTTCTGGGTCAGCTGCAGCATCCTTCAAGGCCCAGCTCAGATGGCACCTTTTGGTCCTTTCGCTACAGACCCAAGCAGAATGCATTGCTTTCTCTTCCTTATTCCCACAGCTAGGCTGATTACCTCCATCCTTGCAACACCGAACCTATTAGATTATGAACCCTGACGGAACAGGGACTGCTTAGGTCTTTCATCTGTGTCTAGCGCTCAGCACTGTACGTAGTGTGTGCTCCGTCAGTGCCTGTTGAATGAATGATAGTTGTGAAATTGCACTCTAGAGCTTAAAACCAGTATAAGAGACTGCGGTTGCTATTCCCTGTCCCCAGTCATTGTGTCTGTTAGCCTGGGGCACAAGTCTTCACGTGGCAGGATTTTGTCGGTTCTGATAATCAGTTTAGCCTTTTCCCTCAGGTTGTGTCAGTAGACCGCTTGACCTTTGAAAGTGAGCTGCCAGTCCTGATCCTTGAAGAGCCTTTTTTGAACACATGTTTAACAAATTTAAGAATGTACAGAGAATGATGAATACATCAACATACACCCCTCATCTTACTGACTACTAACAGATTAAACGTCTGTGCCTGCTCTCAAGATGCTTCTACTCCTGTTGGAGAGTTCAGTACAAGAATGACCATAAAATGAATCTGGCTGTCTTGGTCTTCCATAGGATCTTTTGACTTATACTGTGACTGAATTTGTATTACCTGCTCTTAAGTCCTTTCTTCACCCTCACCACCCCATTCCACCCTGCTTTCACTTTGGATGGCCCACATCCACTGAGTTCCACTTTGGGTTCTTTCAGTTCCTCAGTTATTTTAAGAGTTAAGCAATGCTTTGAGGGGCGCCTAGGTGGCTCAGTTGGTTAAGCGTCCAAGTTCGGCTCATGTCATGATCTCATGGTCCGTGAGTTCAAGCCCTGCATCAGGCTCTGCTGACAGCTAGGATCCTGGAACTTGCTTCAGAATCTGTTTCTCCCTCCGTGCCCCTTCCCTGCTCACGCTCTGTCCATCTCTCTCTCTTTCTCTCAAAATAAATAAACATTAAAAAAAAAAAGAGTTAAGCAATGCTTTGGTTCCTTTTTCCCTATTCTACCTGAAACACTAAAATTTCTACATAGCCCAGCCAGTTGCTGTTGACATAGTCAGCTTTTTGATGTAGGCCTAACTCACCTATTTAAAACAAAAAAACCCATTAGATGAGCTAGCAATTAGATCCAGTTAAAAAATAACAAGATGAACCCAATTTAAAAGAGCAAAAAATTTGAATAGATATTTCTCCAAAGAAGATGTACAAATTGACAATAAGTATGTCAGAAGATGCTCAACATCATTAGTTAATTAGGGAAATACAAATCAAAATCACAACAAGATACCACTAAGACAATAATGGGCCGGTAAGCATGTAGGGAAATCAGAACTAAATATGGGGAGAACTTAACTTTGCATGGTAGTGAGTTACTGTAAATATGGCCATGCAAGCTGAAACTGTACAAAGCAAGCTTAATAATCAATGGGAAAGATTATAATTGTTTCACAGCCCTTAAAATTTTTGGTTGAAACAAACTGTTGGTACATTGAGATTTAGTGTTTTATTTCTTTTTAAAAAAAAACTTATCAAGAAAAAAAGTCAAGTGCTTGCCTTCTCTTTGTATAACTTATGATATGGAGTGAGCATTTTTTCTGTTTTGGGAAGTTGTCATGTTTCTAAGTTTGGATCAGCTTCTGATATTTTATCCTTTGTGTTTTCAATGTTGTACAATACTTGTAAGAGTTCCTTTAATGTGAAGTTTTTTGCCTTGTCATTTCTTCCAGGACATTTGTCATAACCACTTACTTATATTGATGTTTGCCTTCATTAAATTCCTCTGACTCTATATCTAGAGTCTCTCAAACAGCAGTGGTATCAATTCCTCAGTTTACATTTCTTCTATAACTTCATTTATATATGACCCAAATTTCACTTCCAGCATTATCATGTTAGTTTCTGTGCTATACTTTTATCTTTGTTGGCCAATTCCCTCTTTTGAGTATCTATTTTTGTAAAATGTCACATAAGCTTATCACTGGGAGACAAGACAGCACAAGCACATGCTTTGCTCTCTGTCTCTTGAACTGGAAAACAGGTGTGCAATATCCAATCACCAACAGACTAAAAGAAATGACACTCTTGGTCACTGATCATACGTGTGTCTGTCGTGTAATGATCTGTGGACTGAAGAGCTAGCTGCAAAGTTTGCACTTTATGCATTTACTTACAGTTAATATACCTTTATAAGTGAAATTTGCACTGTGCTGTTGAGGGACGGGTATTAGTTAAATTAAGACATACTAACTGAAGATGCTGCATGTAGGAACTGTGTAAGCTGAGGGCTTCTTGTAGTAGAGCAGCAACTTCCATAAAGCAAAACTACAAGATATAAAAGGACAAATAGACACATTAATAAAGAAGACTGTAACAAACATCTCCCAAACCTAGAATAAGTGGATAAAAAAACTAGTAAGGATATATTTTTTAAAAGAGGAAAAGATGGGGCGCCTGGGTGGCGCAGTCGGTTAAGCGTCCGACTTCAGCCAGGTCACGATCTCGCGCTCCGTGAGTTCGAGCCCCGCGTCGGGCTCTGGGCTGATGGCTCAGAGCCTGGAGCCTGTTTCAGATTCTGTGTCTCCCTCTCTCTCTGCCCCTCCCCCGTTCATGCTCTGTCTCTCTCTGTCCCAAAAATAAATAAAAAAACGTTGAAAAAAAAAATTTTTAAAAGAGGAAAAGAGCCTTTTGAA